CGCGGCGCCCTTGCTGCCGCCGCCCCGCCTGGCCAGCTGCAGGCGCTGCTGGATGAGATTGACTTGCAGCATCAGGGCATGCCAGCTCAGCGCTCAAAGCTGTGAGGCACGGTTTGCTTGCCTGCCGCCGCCCTCTGGCTGTCCGCCGGATGCAAGCTGTAACTGTGGGGCCTGCTGAAAGGCGGAAGGTTCTCCCCAGGCGGGGGCAGGATGCTGGCGGGAAGGGGCGCCGCGGGTCATAGGCAGCAGGGCATGGCACACGTGCTACAGTCGTTTGTGCTGCGTGTGGAGCCTTCAGCAGATCCACAGGCAGGGATCTGGGCGGTGGTAGGACACATGCCTGACGCCAACATGAGGCACACTGGTGAAAGTGAAGCAGCGCCCCCTCTGCCAGCTCCGACAGGTTGCGGCCTGGAGCCTCGTCGTAGGCCCCCGGCGTGGGAGATCCCGCGGTGTGGGTAGTACCTCCGATGAGCTGGCACGCACTCCTGGGCGCAGGCGCAGGGGGGTGGCGGCGGAGTGGTAGACACCAAACCCTGCTCCGCTGGGGCCGGCGCCGCCTGAATCTTGGATCGAGCCATGTTTAATCGGGTCTGAGGGTGCCTGCATGCGCCGCGACAGCGTATTCCGGCGTGGTAGCGGCTACCACCCCGTGGGTAGAAAGCCGTCCAGCTTGGAGTATAAAAGCCTGCCCCTGGCCTTCTTGTCACCCATTCTCTCCGCTCCCTCGCTTCCTGCAACGCGGCCACCCTCCCCCGCCACAATGCAGACCGCCATGGCACAGAAGCTGAGCCTCAGCTCGGCACCCACCGCCGCCGTGCGCAAGGCCGGCGCCCGCCGCCTCCCCGCCCTGCGCGTGGCCTCCACCACTCGCTGCCAGGCGGTGAGCACCCTCGCAGACTGCCATGCGAGCGGCTGAGCCGCTTGCAGCGAGCAGCCAGTGTTTGAGCCGCCGCCGCCGCCGATGCTCCAATCTCTCCCACCGCCGCCATCACCCACACATGCCCTCCCTCCCTCCCTCCTTCCAGATCGCTGCCAAGGCTGACGAGGCTGTGACCATCCGCTTCGACGCCTCTGGCAAGCCCGTGGTGTCCGTGGGCTCCGCCGCCCCCGCCCCCGTGAAGGCCGCCGACGAGGTGAGCGGTGGGATGGGAGGGCGCGGCAGGGCTGGCAGCAGCCTTGCTGCCCCTGCATTCTGTGCTGCACGCCTGAGAGCGCCACTCACTGCTGCTTGCTGTGAGGGCTGAAGCCAGCAGCAGCGGCGGCAGCTTGTGTTCCTGCCCTTGCATGCACGGTGCCGGCATGTGTGTGTTGTAGAATCTGCTGCTTCGGCACACACGCACTCACCCTGCTTACCCTCCCTCCCTCCCCCTCCCTTGCCTGCCCGCAGAAGGCCGAGCTGGCTGAGATTGCCTCCCTGTTCGACCTGTGGAACAGCACCCTGCAGACCGGTGAGCCCGAGAAGGTGGCGTCCCTGTACGCCCCCGACGGCATCCTGCTGCCCACCGTGTCCAACAAGGTCCGCACCGACCACGCCGGCAAGGTGGACTACTTCACCGCCTTCCTCAAGCTCAAGCCCTTTGGCGTGATTGACCAGAGCATCGTGCGCTTCCTGACCCCCGAGAAGGATGTGGCCTCCAACTCCGGCATCTACACCTTCACCCTGCAGAAGGAGGAGGGCCCCGTCAAGGTGGGTGGTGCTGCTGCCTGGGTCGGGCTGCCAGCTGGCTGGCTGGCCTACAGCAACAGCACGCGGCCTGCAGGAGGCTGGCAGCGCATAGCAGCAGCTTGCCCTCACCGCACCGCATCTGGCATTGCCTGCCACCACACACTCCTCCATCCTCCTCACCTTGCTCCCCCGCCCCTCCTCGCTGCCCGCCTGCAGGTCCAGGCCCGCTACAGCTTTGTGTACCGCAAGATCGATGGCGAGTGGAAGATCACTGAGCACCACTCCTCTGCCATGCCCGAGCCTGTGGTTGACCCCCTGGAGGAGGTGGCCGCCCAGTTCGACCTGTGGAACAGCACCCTGCAGACCGGCGACCCCGAGAAGGTTGCCTCCCTGTACGCCCCCGACGGCGTGCTGCTGCCCACCGTGTCCAACAAGGTCCGCCCCGACCACGCCTCCAAGGTGGACTACTTCACCGCCTTCCTCAAGCTCAAGCCCTTTGGCACCATCAACGAGAGCCACGTGCGCTTCCTGAACCCCCAGAAGACCCTGGCCGCCAACAGCGGCGTGTACACCTTCAAGCTGCAGAAGGAGGATGGCCCCGCTGAGGTGAGGCTGGGTGCCCTGTGCTGGGCCGCGCCTGGGCTGCGCTGCGCCTGGCAGTGCTTTGGCGCCACCTGCCTGCTTCGCTTCCTTCTTTGCCTGCCCTCTCACCCTCCCTCTGCTTCTTCCGCGCCGCAGGTCCAGGCCCGCTACAGCTACATCTACCGCAAGATCGACGGCGTGTGGAAGATCGCTGAGCACCACTCCTCCGCCATGCCCGAGCCCGTGGCGGCGCCCGCGGCAGCCAAGGAGACGGTGGGTGAGCATCGCTGCGCCTGTCGCTGCTGCTGCCTGCTTCACCCCTGTGCATTGGCTGGTGTTGCGCCCCTTCTCCGCTGTGCCTGCCGGCTCACTGCTCTCTGCTCCCCGCCTCCCTCTTGTGCTGCAGCCGCGTGAGCGCAAGAAGTTCCTGGGCTTCCTGTGAGCAGCGCGGCGCAGAAGTGCGGATGGGCAGCCGTACCAACGGCCCCTGACGTGCCCCCAGCAGCGCAGCGCTGGACACACACACACACACACACAACACACAACACACGAACACTTTACCTTGCGCTGTTGAGTTTGCAGCACACCCTGTTTACCCCTGTTATCCATGCTGCTTCTGCCGCTCTTTTCATCGCCTATCCTTTTATTGCTGCCTCTGACCTGTATCTCTGTGACCTGTACTGTTCCTGACCGGGTGTAACCAATCAACACCCTCAACACCCATCGACCCAAGGGAACAACAATGGGGGCCTGCCACTGACGCGCTGAAGACTTTTACATTGAGCGTGACGTGAGCGTGGTGTGACAGCAGCAGAAAGGGCAAGAGCAAGAAGCAGCAGGAGAAGAACAAGACGGGGTGTGCGAGGCGCCCACCAGCAGGCTGGGCGAGAGAAGGGAAAGGACAGGTGCTGCCAGGGTGGAGACGGGGAGGGGTCGCGCTCCTGGTGGTGTTTGTCAGGAGCTGCTTGCTGCCAGCGTGGAGGAAGGCCCCTGTCGGCGGCGTGGAACGTGGTGCGAGGCAGGCTCAGTACATGGTGTCCACCTGGCTGTTCAGCTCTGCCCGCTGCTCTGCGCGCTCCTTCCTGCACACCAGCAGGTGGAGCGCGGCGGCAGAAACATCAGCGCGGATGCTAGATGCCGAGACAGGAGAAGAATTGTGACATTCCATGCATCGGGAGGTGCTGCAGCACCACAGCCCGGCCCGCAAGTCTGGGAAGAGCGCTGCCGCAGCTCACCGCGCGCGCGACAGAGCAGGCTTCAGCGCAAACTGCTTCTTCACCCAGGTTGCTATTTGCACTGCGGCATGGCAGCAGACACGGCAGCAGTTGATGAGCACACACAAGCGGTGAGGAGGAAGTCTGCGCCAGCACAGCTGGCCGGAATGCTGACCAGGTAACTGGTGCCTGCGCCAGCTGGCCACATGCTGCTGCCAGCGCTCACCTTCAACCGTGCGGATCTGCGGCACCAGCGTGCGCACATTCCTGATGGGCAGCCAGTCGGCCAGGCCCTGCAGCCCGGGCAGGTGAGAGTGAGTGCAGGAGGCTCGGTTTGGTGTGGAGGGCCCACGCGGTGGGGCAGCAGCGCCTTGCACCCAGGCTGGAGCGTGAACGGCAGCTGGACGTCGCAGCGGGCAGATGGCAGCAGCAGAGGCTGGACTTCCGCCTGCCAGCACACGTGCCGATGGTGGCAGGCCGGGAGTGAGCCGGCTCCAGCCTGGCGGCTGGCCAGTGCGGCTTCGCTGTATGCGCGCTGCCGCGCACCTGGCCCCACACTAGCGTGTTCTCGTCGATGACGCCTTGCGTCCAGGCCTCGCGCAGAACCGGCAAGCTGCAGGGGCCGCGCGGCGAGCTCATGCGGTCCCTGCAGAGCGGGGGCCAGAGGCAGAGGCGGCCGGCAAGTTGAGCGCTGGCAGCGGGGCGCCACCAGGCCACCACGTTGTGACGTGCAGAGCTGCTGCATGCTTGCGTTCCAGCTGCATTTTGCGCGAGCATGGGCTGCTGGCCAGCTGCTAATGGATCAAGCAAGCTGCTGCACCGTCCAGCGCCAATTGCCGCCAATTGCCGCCGCCGCCGCCAACACCCCGCGGGGCCGGCCTCCCTCCTCACGCGCTGCTCACCGGTAGTACCAGATGTTCTTTGCCGTGGCGCAGCGCACGTAGTCCACAACTTGTCGGTCATAGGTGGTGACCTTGCCGGGCTTGAAGGGCGGTGGCGGCTGCTCCGGGGCCTGCTGCTTGCTGCTGGACTTCTTGGCGGCCTTCTTGGGTGCCGGCGAGTCCGCCATGCTTGTCTATCCCGGCCGGGCCGCTTCGCTGCTGCGATGGCTGCCGGGAGAAGCAGCAGGGGCACGATGCAGCAGGTTCAACGCGCGGGAATGGCGCGCGACGCTCGATAAGGCGCCTGGTACGGCAGAGGCAGCACTACATGCCCCATCTTGGCCCCGAGCAGAGCAAGCAGCCCCCTGCAGCACGATGGATTTTGGCGCATTGACACTTTGGCACAGGAGCTGGCCAGCCTCGATTCCCGCCCGCCATTCCGCTCACCGCTGCCGCCACGCCTCACCAGGCGTGGTTACAGCAGCGACATGTTGAATGGACTAGAGGAGCACGGGTGCCAAGGTATAGTGCACATGCAAGTATGTTAGGGTAAGAGAAGGGTATACTGCACCCATCGCAGCAGAGTCTGCCAGCAGGCGAGTGAGTGGCCAACGACGGGAAGCACAACCGCAGGATGGACGGCATAGAATCCAGTAAAAAATCAAGAATGAAGAATGAGGGAGAGCACACCAGCAACTGTTGTGCACAACGCCGCTCCTGTCTCAGTAGCGGCTCCGTGGGATCAGCTTAATCCTGGCCTTGCCCCTGAGCACCTTACCGTGCCGGTTCACGATGGCATGGCTGGTGATGCGGAAGAACTTGTGGGTGCCGTTCTGCATTCAGGGGCAGTAACGAGGAAGGGATGGATGCTAGCGCATGGCCGCACGAGATGAGGCCTGGCTGGCACCCCGTGGTTTGGGGAGGAGGCCTGATGGACTCCATGCGTCTTCCCGCGCCTCTGCCAGCCAGCCAAGCCCCGCCAGCCAATGCCCGCATCGCCAAGAAAGCTTGCAGCTCATGCCTGCCACCCTAAGCCAGTCGCTGGCGCACCTTGCACTTGTAATGCGTCTTGTATGCAAACTCTGCGGCAGCGGCGGTGCCCAGAGCAGACGGCAGCCGTGAGCAGGAGAGGCAAGGAGGCTGAAAATGTGCCGGCAGCACATGCCTGGTGCGCATGCCAAAGCCTTGCAGTGCATGAGCAGGTTACCAGCAGCAGGCAGGACACTCACGGAAGATTCCAAGTGAGACCTTCTTGCCCTTCTGCTTGTAGGCCTGCATTCAGAAGCAGGCCAGACGAGGCATACAACGCTTTGAATTCACCAGCACGACGCATGCGGCAGCCAGAAAGCACGCCTAGCAAACGGCTACTGTTGCTGCAGCAGTATAAATGTGCCAACAAGATGCCAAAGGCAGGCATGCAGCTGTGCACTGCTGCCCCATAGCCTGCAGGCTCAGCAGGGGAGCGCCCCTCAACACCCGGCGGCAGCAGCACCAGCAATGCACGGCAACGGCACCGCAACCCAGCCGCCGGGCTGGCTCAACGCCGGAGCAACTCACATGGAAGCAGCCCTTCAGTAGCCTGACAGACACTGGGGCGCAGAGGCCCACCACCTTGCGCTGACGCAGCTCCTGGAGGATGTCTCGCTGCACTCTTGCCAGGATGACGGGCGCAAACTTGTCCACGTAGCGGTTGTTCTGCACCCGATACTGCACCTCGTAGAGGTTTCTCAGGCACACGTTGGACTTCTTGGACTGCGGAGCGGGCTTCTTGGCCTCTGCCCCGCAGAGGAGGACAAGAAGCAGCGCCAGGCAAACCGCCGGCTGCCGCATTGGGCGCAGATCTGCACTGCGGATGGAGCTGTAGAGGTTCGAGCTGGTCCCAGATCGTGAGAAATACGTGTTGCGAATCTAGACATGCGAGCAGGTGCGGGTTTCAGGCGGCCGTTTGCTCTGCAGGCGGTACTCGGTGCAGGTACAGGCTGAAGGCAAGCGCAAAACGACTGCATACTCGATCTGAGAATCTTGGCATACCGATGTTGCGCGGAGACAAGTTTGAGCACCTCCGGCATCGCAAGATTGCCGAAGACAGTCCCAGGACTTTGCAGGTGCACAGACTTCCCATTTCGTCGACTCGGTCACCGGCTTGGTCCCCGGTGGGTGATTTATGACGATTCTGCACACCCTGCATCGGCTACTCTCCCATTGCCGCCGACGACCGGTCCCCGCCCATGCTGCTGCCGGTGCCCGCTCCTTGCTGCTACCCTGCCAGCAGTTCCTCATAACTTTCGCAGCTACGTGACCCTGACTGTGACCATCCTGCTATTCTAGTCCATTCCGCGTTTATGAGCCTGGCCATCCATCGCAAGAATCCGGAATAAGCTGTAGGCGGTCGCCGCCAATCGTGCACCCGCAGCACTGACGCCTCGCATAGGCAGCCAATGCACTGACGCCTCATTAAATTTGCATTTGAGCGGGTTTCCATGTGATGAACTCATGAAATAAAGTAGGAGCCAAAACAATCTGCACTTCAGCGGCGGGGTCTGCTGGCAGGGGCTGCTGGCACCAGGCATGCCGGCACAAACAAGCAGCCCCGCCATGGTGGGTGTCGTCACTCGAGCTTCTTGTCCATCTTGAAGGCTTTCTGGATCAGGGAGTTGACGGGCCACCCCCACAGCTTCTGTATCACGCCCATGGTCCACCACAGCCGCGCGTTGCCGGCGGCCAGGAACCAGGTGGGCGGCTGGCGTGGGGTCCACTTCCCGCGCTCGCCCGCTGCCGCCGCAGCGGCGCCGCGGGCGCTGCTGGGCGGCAGCGCAGAGCGGTTGATCACCGCCGCAATCTGGCCTGCTGCCGTGTCAGCGCTGACGCAGGTCTTGGGATCCTGGGACACCAGCGCCCGCTCCCTGCAATGGCAGCGGCAGCGGCAGCAGCAGAGGATCGGAGCACTCGGCAGGGTGTGAAAACAGTGAGCATCCGCAGGCCCGCCGCAGCAGCAGCACCACCACCACCAGGGCAGCAGGATGCAGCAGCACCTGTAAAGCACCAGCAGTGCGCTACACCACACCGCCTCACAGGCTGCCAACATCCAGCAGCGGCGGCAGCATGCTGTGCTGCTCACGTGATGATGTGCGCCAGCGGGGCGTACAGCGACTCGGCCCGCTCGTACCGCGCCACGTTGGTGCCAGCCAGCACATTGTCGCTAAAGGCAGATCTGCGGCGAATAAAAAACAACAACTAAAACTTGGTGGCAGGGGGAGCAGGCCAGGGCGGAGCAGAGACCAGGGCACATGGGTGTTGGGAGGGCTGGCGAGGGGCCAGCCTGGGCACAGAGGCAGGATACTGGGATGGCATGCCTGCTCCGTGAGCCGCGGGCAGGATGAGTGCGTGGCACGTGCTGCGCCGGGTCCTGCTGCACGTGCCCTGCGGCAGCCCGCGCAGCCTCCAGGCGCTGACACATCTCACTTGATGGCCCCGGAGGCGCAGTACGTGACGTGCACCCCAAACGGCTCCAGCTCGAGGCGCAGCGCGTCCGTCAGCGACAGCAGCGCCGCCTTGGAGGCTGCAGGGAACGAGGCGCGGCGGCAGGGCGGGTGGCAGGCACGCAGCGGGCGCAGCGGGGCTGCCACCAGCAACCCAACGCAGCTCCAGCGGCAGCCGGGGGTGCACGGCAGGGCAGCAGCGCATGCGGGCGCCCTGCTGTGTTCCTCTGTGCATGTGCAGCAGCCCAGGCCTGCCCTGGCCTGCAGCCCGCCCACCTGAGTAGATGCCGCCAAAGGGGCTTGCCAGCATCGACACAATGCTGCCGATCTGCACAATCAGCCCTGAGCGCTGCCGCATCATGTGAGGGGCCACAGCCTGCAGAAGGGCCGGGACGCAGCGTGTGGGACGGGCCACGTCAGGCAGCAGATCGGCAGATGGGGCGGGCCCGGGAGCAGAGCGCAACGGGTTGAAGACCGGCAGGGTTCAACATAGAGGTGCCTGCGCCGCTCTCCACAAGCGCGCCCAGCCCTGCGTCCCGCTCCCACCACTCGCCTGCATTACCCGCACTACTCCGAACAGATTGGCCTCCATCACCTCCTGCATCTCCGACAACGGCTGCTCCACAATGGGACCCACACGGCTCAGCCCTGCAGCGGCGGCGGGCACGGCAGCGGCAGGCGCGTTGCGGCGGCCCGGGCGGCGGGCAAAGCACCAGCTGGGGCGTGGGGGCTGGCGGTGGGAGTGCGGGAATGAGCATGCCAAGGCTGGGCTGGCTTGGTGCGGCCTGCATGCTGACCAGCAGCCACCGCCGCAGCAGCGTGCCGCAACAGCGGGCATGGGCCGCACGGCAGTGGATCGAGGGCCCCACCTGCATTATTGACCAGCACGTCGATGCGGCCAGCCCTCTGGATCACCCGCCGCACAGCGCTGTCGACAGACTTCTGCGGCGGCAGCGGCAGGGCGGGCCACACGGGCCGGGTGGCAGGCGGACGCGGCCGTGAGCTGGCTGCGTGTCTCGGTGGCCCCGGCGGCATGTCCCCGCTCTGGGCAGCCGCCAGCGCTGCTTGGCGAGGAGCGACCGCGCTTGGCGAGGAGCGACCGCGCTTGGCGAGGGGGTGCAGGCAGGTGGGTGGCCTGCTCCACCTGGTCTGTGACGTCCAGCTGCACCACATCCAGGCCAGCCGCCTCCAGCTCCCGGAGGGAGGCCAGGTTGCGAGCGGACGCAAACACGCGGTACGCCCGCTCACCGCCCGCGCCCTCGGCGTGCATCCGCTGCGCCAGCGCGCGGCCCAGCCCGCTGGAGCAGCCGGTTATCTGCAGGCCGGTTGCAGAGGCAGGAGGGGCGCTCAGGCGGGGGAGGAAGACGCGCGGATGGAGGCGCCATGCCTTGAAACTGCGTCGACCCAGCGGGAGGGAGGGTGAGGGGTGAGGGAGGGAGGTCAGGGACGCCACGGCCAGGCCAGGCCCAGCCAGGTGTGGGGCTGGTCCCCCACGGCTGGGCGTGAGGAGGGACCAGCACACACCAAGCCGCAACAGGCCAGCCGCAGCAGGCCCTGCGCAGCCCCGAAGCCCCCCAGCAGCCACTCAAGCCTCCCACCGCCCGCCGAGCTGCAGTACACCGGGCCGCCACGCAGCGCCACCAGCCCCGCCACCCCAAGCCTTCCATCAGCCAGACAGCCAAGCCTGAGTGACACACACACACACAGGCGCCAACCTCACCTTGCTCCAGTCCACCAAACTGGCCACAAACTCTGCAAAGGCGATGTCACCTGCGGGCGACACATCCATCTGTGCCAGCAGCTGCTGGCTCTCGGCGGCGCTCAGGTTGAAGGTGCCCTCCTCCAGCTCCTCCTGCACCACATGCAGGCGGTACCGTCGACATGCAGTACATGCAGACGGTACAACAAGCCCAACCAAGGCGCCGCATGAGGGCCAGGCCGCCGGGCGCGCTGGCGAGCTGGCACCGTCGTCGCGGCGCCGGCAGCGGTACGCGGTGCAGCCGGCGGCGAGCGGGCACGGCACCTGCAGGCGGGTGTAGGGCACCCTCCCGGTATCTGCTGGGTCCAGCTCCAGGAACAGGCCCCGCAGGTCGGCCAGCACGATGGAATCCTGCGGTATCTGGGTGGCCACCTGGCACCGCAGGCAAGGCGGGGGCGGAGGGCAGGATGTGAGCATGTGCACGTGCGGTGTGTGTGTGGGTGGGTGGGTGGGTC